AACATCTACCTTTGTAATTATACTCTCAGACTAAAAATCAAACAAACCTGTCCTATAAAGTCCAGTTGCCAGATTCAGCAGGTAAAAATAGAGGTTGTAAAGTTAAATCTGAATTTCAGGTAAACAACAAATAATTTAGTAAAATTTGTTCCATGCAATGTTTGTAACATCCTTGCATGAGACACGCTTAAACTTAAAACGTATTTTTGTATTAAAAATTACATATATACATATATTCTGTGTCTGTTATTTATCAACTTTATCCAAGAAAATGAGTCCCATGAGGATGGGAATTTTGCTTGTGTTCACTGAATATACACAGTCAGCCACCTAAACAATGTCTGAATATAGGTTCTCAATAAATATCTGCACAATGGGTGGATAAATGGATTAACTGGAAAGATAAAGGGAGGCCAATGTTGCCACAAAAAAAGGACCATTATCTGCAGGAATCCATTATCTGGATTCCCATATATTTATTTTTTTAATGTTTTTATCATCTTCAGGTCAAGACCTCAGACATATATTTTCACAGAAATTAGTTTAATTATTTGATTATTTCAGTCCTTAAGATGTTTTACAAACTAGTAAGTTTACTCAAACACAAAAGAAATCAAAATCTGATGTGATTTATTCACCTCACAATGTCATTTTTCTCAAAGAACTCAAAAACTTACCCATGCATAAATTTAATTCTAAAATTAGTATTTGGGTAAGCATTTTCAAAGTCTCAAGCTAATAAAGCAGAATAGCAAAATCAAGGGTAAAAGAAAAGTTGATATCTGTTAGAAACTCTAGGGTAGGAGTGGGCTCTTGAAAGAAAATCAGAGCAAAAGAATGTAGGAACAGCTTTCATTCATTTAACTGACATTTCTTGAGTAGTATTTCTACTACACGCTAGACACCAAGTGGGTGGCCATGGTGAGCAAAATCAATGTGAAGTTTATATATAGTCTGGTGGGGAAGACAAACCAATTATACAAAATGCCAATACTTGTTTTAAAAGCGGTCTGCTATAAAAAGGGGCAGTAAACAGTGTGATCATAACAGAAAGGAAGTTGGAAAGGGGAAGCAGCTTTCTTACATTGTGACTTGAAGGATGAAGAGTTGGCCAGGTAAAGAGGGCAACACATTCCAGCTGAGGGATGAGAACATTTCACATCAAGGAACTGAAAAGATTGGAGTGTAGTCCATGAGAAATGAGACAAGACATGGAGCTGGAGCAACAAGTAAGAACCAGGTGATGAAAGGCCTTGCAAGTAACGTTCTTAGAAATTATTCTGATAGTAAAAAAATTTCCAACAGAGTTTTTAATTGAGTTGTGTTTAATAAGGATTACTCTCACTACAGTGAAGGGCTTGTGCCACAGGAAGGCAAGATGGAGCTGCAGAAAGATACTAGGGGATTGTTGCAAGAATCCAGATGAAAGGCAAAGAGGATAAATTTCTAAATGAAGTAATAATAGTGATTTAGAGAAAAGTGGATTAATCCAAGTGATTAAATTAAAGCTATTTGGCTTGTGATTATCTGTATTTGTGGTGGGGTAGGTGACAAAGATCAAGACTGACTTCCGTCCGCATTTATAGGTAAGATTGATGGTATAATTCACTGAACTAAGATATACTAGAGTAGATGGGAATTATTTTAGGGGGAGGGAAGTGGCAGGATATAGGAAACTGCTCCTCGTGGCATGGGAAAAGCAGCCCAGCCCCCACTCGGAAAGGCCAGTGGGGAGTGAGGTCCGCACACAGGACTAACGCTCACCGATAGGTTCTCCCACTGGGAATCAGGACTGCATTGTACCTAGGCTGCTATGAAGCTTGCTTTTGCTAAAACTCCCTCACCCTGGATTGAGGCAGCAAATGTTTACTGCATATCTCTAAACTAACTTCCTAAAGTCTGTGCTAAAGCTCCCAAGTATTGAGTGTAACCAGTTCAACCACTTTTCCCCTCGATCTGTAACATCCTTCTCTTGGAAGTAATTAGCAACATTCTTTCCTTTGTTATCTGTAAAAGGTAATCACCTACTGTAAACCTGTGCATAGTAAATGAGGACCAAACTCTATGGAATTTACTCAGAAAAGCAATAAAAAAGTCTGTCCAGGCAGGAGTTTGGCCTTCTCTCTCACTTAGAGAGCAGTCATGCCATCCCTTTTTCTCCACAGGACTTCTGTAGTCCACGTGAATTTGTTCATCGCAGCCACAACACACAGACCTGCCAGCTGGGGTCTGCATCAGCAAGAATGAGGACTACAAGAGAGGAAAATCACCCGAGGATTGTGTGTGGACTAAGAAGAAAAGGCAGCAAAAGGTGGAGAAAAACAAGCCTTTAAGGAATAAATAGGTGGGGAAAGTCTATAAAAGAGATTTTGAACAGCAGAACACCAAAAAAGGCCAGGGAAAAACCAGAAGTGTGGTGTCTTCAAAACCAAGGAAAGAAGGGGTTTTAAGAAACAGGTATAGCCCTAGTGGTATGGCTTAGTAGGTGGGATTGTTGTCCCATAACTGAAAGGTTGCAGGTTTAACTGCCACTTAGGACAGTGTATGATCCCCAGGCAGGTACCGGAGGCAATGAATGGGAGGCAACCGATCGATATTTCTCTTTCTTTCTTTCTTTCTTTCTCTGTCTCTGAAAGCAATGAAAAAATGTCCTCAGGTGAGGATTAAAAAAAAAAAAAATTTAGAAAAAAAATAAAAAATGTCAAATGATGTCAAGAAATGTGGTAAAATGTCCACTGGATTCAGAATTTCAGCGATGTTCTTCCAGTGTTCTGTTTCTAATAAATACAAACAGAAGAGTTCTGAAAAACTAAAGTAAGTCACTCTTCAAACTCCCTAATAACTCATTTTTTCCCAAGCTTTTGGCTAAAATCAGTGACTTGGATACCAAATTTTTCACTTTTTAAATCACTGAAAAGCTTCTATTTTTACGAATTTTGGGTTGGCCAAAGGAGCATTCACTGGCCATACATTAGTATTTTTCTTTGCTAAAGTGAATTCACTGAACGGTCTTTCAAAGCCAGCATCTTGATTATAATCTCTGAGAATGCAAACATAGTGTATGTCTTGCTTTTCCCTGGTATGGTTCATGGTCTGTGCCAAGGAACTAAATAAATATTTGTTCAATGATGTGTACTTAGAGCACTGATATGTGAAGCTTCCCAGAAATGATTTTTAGGTTATTCCTTACCACTCTAATCCCTGAAATGCAGAAATGATAATGTTTTTGCAAAGTTTCCTTCACACCTTAAAGAATGCTCAGAAGCAACTGTTTAGTGAGTTTCCAAAGTACTACTTAAAGCAGATCTCACTCATAGACAAAGACAACAGTATGGTGATTACCAAAGGGAAAAGTGGGTGGGGACAGGTAGAAGATGGTCTAGAGGGTATAAATGGTGATGGAAAGAGACTTGACTTGGGGTGGTGAATACACAATACAATATACAGACAACGTATAATGGAATTGTACACCTGAAACCTATATAATTTCATTAACCAATGTCTCCATGATAAATTCAATAAAAAAGAAAAAAGGTCTCATTTTAGAAAAGGCATGCACACTAGGAAAAGATGTAATGAAATTACTTTTGTAAACTGAATATCACCCTCAGATTAATTTCTTCTTATAAATCATTTATGTAGAATTTTATAAGTTTCTTAAATCAAGATATAGATATCCTTATTTCCATTATAAATAAGAGCAAAATTCAACATTTTTATATTGTTCCATCTGATTAGCCTGTTGGGCATTTTACTCACTTTCAAGAAAGTAAAAAAGTTTTCTAAAAAGACAACTTGTCTCATCAGCTAGCAAGCAATTCTTCTCTTGAAATGGAGTATAAGTTTTCCTTTATCATATGTGTATGCCATGTTTCTTAGCTATACACAACTGAGTAACTTGCTAGTCACTGACAATTTCAAAATGACTAGAAAGTCTTTGAAAATGCTACGAAACATTAATGACAAAAGAAAACTGTTAAGCAGGGAAGAAGAAAGCTAAACATGAAAAATAAATCCACTCAAGTAAAATTATTTAGCCTATGCTTGATTGGCATCCCTAGGGAGGCTTTTTCTAATGCAAGACTATTATTATAACTATAATTAAAAATAAAAGATGAATAGCACAACCCAGTGTAGAATCAAAAGCTGAATTCTCAATTTCGACAACACTGAAAATCAGATGAATAATTTCAATCTATGAAACATGAAATCTGGTGATGGAAACATAAGCTATTCAATCTTACCTCACTTAGGGAAAGAAAGAAAATAATATTACTAGTTACAACTGTACATGTGATTTCATTCATATCAAACATTTAGCTACCACTAAAATTATCCTTCTTTTGAACCAAAGAACAGCAAAATACATGAACCCACTGCACTCAATGAATACATTAGTGTGTGATAAGAAGCCTATTTAAAAGAACTTCCCATGTACCCCCAACACCTCTCTAGGGCGAGAGAGTGCACACACACATCTACTTACTTCAAAATGACATTTTAGATTACCCGATCGCTAAATTCACTCACAATTCACCATGGTCAACTCCCTACCCAGTCTATTAACTTTTCAATGTAGGGGTTAAAAAATACAAGGAAGCATATTTTCTCCCAAAATCTACGTGAATACGAAAAAGTTACCAAGACTTTGGAAAGGGGGAAAAAACTAATGAAAACAAATTACCCACGCATAAGAAAGAAAAATCATCCCATGTGGTGATCACCTGGTGGCTTAACCCCTGAACAATATGTGGCTCAGTTCATTTTTTTTGAACCCCACCCCCATGGACAAATTCCAAGAATGCTCCGCTTCGGCTGTCGGAGGTCCCGGACTAGTCCGGAGACCAGGAGAGGGATGACAGCTTGCGGCTCGCCTCCAAGGCTAACTGAGAATCACCTCAGAGGCTAGCCCGGTAGAGGTGCCCACCCCGCAGCCTCTGCCTCCCCGCCAGCCTCCAAGGGCCGGGGAGTCCCTTCTCCTCCGATCTCCAACTCCTCACCTCTCAGTCCCGGCTCACGCGCTTCCCATCCCTCAGTCAGCTTCGGTTCCACGCCTCTTTCCCTTTCTGTTTTATTTTTACTTGCCACTCCAAATGGGGGGCCTTAAGCAGGCCAGACCACCACTGAGCCCACGTCCACAACCCACGCCGGGCTCGCCAGAGTCGCTCCCAATCAACAGAACAGGACACGCTAGATGGCCACACCGCCCAGAGCCAGACAGACCTACAAACCCGGAAAATAGGAAGGGGCGGAGCAGGCGCAGACCAACACGTCACCCGCCTGCTGCGGCGCCAACGTCAACACGTAGCTCCCTCCAGCCCCACCCCTCCCTCCAGCCCCACCCCTCTGGGGTGGCGTGCAAGCGGAGGTCCCACCTCCGCCTCCGGCCCCCTGAGTAAGGAGTGACGGGGCCTGAGGCTAGGGCGCATTCAGGACTGGTGCTGGGCGCGACTCTCAGGCCTGGCTCGTGATCCAACCGGAGTCTCCGGCTCACCGGAGTCTCCCGCTCACCGTCAGAGTGCTAGTGTTTGAGTCGGCTGATTACCCCGCCCTAGTCTGTAAGGTCAGGACAGGGAGAAAATAATTCCTTTTAAAGGTAAGGGAGAGAAAAGCAGTGAATATGTATGAAGACTGGGCAACTACCGTCATCATATCCAGCCAGAGCTTCAGGCTGCTTCAGGATACTTTATACACGGTTCCCTGGTTTCAAGTCCCGCTTTTCTTAAGCTTTCTGGAGTCTGTTTACTTGTCTTCAAGTTATCTCTGCTAGTCGGCCTTTTGGCTGGACCACCCCACCAAAAACGAGACACTTAAGGATTCTCAGACTCAATCGAAAAGGCAGGAAGGTATAATTCAGGAAAATTAACAAACCTCAAGAACTGTACAGTGTATGTGTGTATAGTTCTGGACTAAAAGCTGGGCATGCAAAGCTGGGTATCAGGTAATAAAGTGTTGTGGCATCCTTTTTCTCTTACATCTCCCTTATAAGAAATGTGTCTTGTGACCTAACCGAATTTTGTTTTATGTAGAGAGGCAGCCAGTAGTGATCCAGGGATACTCTTCATTGGCCAAACCACTCCTGGAATTCTCTGTTCAGTTCTAGATCAAGCACTTTAAGAAGACCTTGAACAAGTAGGAACTATTTCAAGAAGAGCAAAATGATGGAACTCAAAAGGATGGTAAATAAAGAAGTAGTGATTGAACGTGGAGCATTTTTATAGAAGAGAAAAAGCTACTGGGACTATCTCCCAAATAAATAGACTCATTGCGTGACATAGATTCGTTTCATGTGATCTCAAGAAGTGCAGACTTAAGAGAAACGGATTTCAGATCCTGAAGATTCCCTTCTAGCACTAGCCAGAGAAGTTGTCTGCCTTACAATGGGTGGAAGCCCTAACACTCTTAAGGCTTACTTAAAAAGGAAGAGGTGCAGGGAAGCCATACATCAAGAGAAGAATTAGTTGATGGTTTTGTTAAAGCTACTTCAAACCTTGAGATTCAATCAGTACATAAGTTCCAGCCTTAAAAGAATTTACAGGTTAGCTTATAAGACAAGATAAATGCATCAAAGGGTAAATAATGCAAGGAGGCCATATGATAATGATTGATACTAACAATAAATACTGCAATTCACATGATAGATTGTTCTCATTATAGTTCCAGAGGCTTAAGAGAGGGGGAGGAAATGAAAATAGACATGTCCAGAACTGCCCTGTCCAGAGAGGGTAGCCCCTAGCCAAGTATGGCTATTTACACTTGTAGTATGGATAGTCTAAATTGACACATGCACTAAGTATGAAATACACACCAGATTTTGAAGACTTAGTACAAAAGAAAATGTAAAATACAGTATCTTAATTCTTATATTGACTACATTTTGAAGTAATATATGGTATATATTAGGTGGATATATTGAAATTAATTTCACTTGTTTATTTTTCCTTTTTTAATGTAGCTACTAGATAATTTTAAAATAGATGGCTTGCATCATTTCTATTAGACAGTCCTTACTAAAGAAATGTACTTCAGTGAACTAAAATATTAATGGAAAGACAGTCTGATAAGATTCCTAGTGAAAAGAAGGAAGACTGTCCAGAAAGTATGCCATGACCAAGCACAGGGAAACAAGACTGAAGATGCATTTTATGATAGTAACATGTTTGTCTATAATGAAAGGTTCTTGTTAGAAAGTGATTATAATAACTGTTAAAATTGGATAGAAACTATCCAACTGAGTAAGGAGACTCAATTTTGAGTTTAAGGAATTTAGTACAGTAGGCCGTCAGGATTTGACAGTTACAAAACTGGATTATAAAGTTATCTTGGCAGTATTGAGTAGGTTAGGTTGAAATTAATGGGTATAGGTGACCAATTAAAACTCATTGTACTTAGAAACATAGCAAAAAAATCTTCAATGGGAGATTGATTTAAATAAATTATATGGAATGCCAGGCATTCAAAAAGTATGACATGAATCTGTATCACTTGTTATAGGGATATATCAACATGTACAATTGAATAAATAGTTTATAAAAGAATATGTACACAACATGAACTCTTATAAGTAAAATGGTAGGTGTGTGTATGTAAGTAGATCATTTGACTAGGAGTGCCCTAATTATCTCAAAATTGTCTTGAAAACAAAAAATCTCAAAGTAAAAAGTGTTTCCAAAATATTTTCAGTGGCTCAATAAAATCATCTATGTTTATGGTTCTTTTCATCTCAATATTTTGTATATTAGCCATTTATTGTCAGCCTTTTCACCTTGCATTGTCAAGAAGGGTTGACAAACTCCAGACACATTTCCAGTCCTTCAGTCTCTTTAGGTTTTCCTCTAGTATGAATGTCCACTAGGTGGGCTCAGCTCACCAGTGCCCAACAGCTTCAGTTTCTAGGCTTTGTTTTTTTCTTGTTCGCAGTCCATTGTCCTCACATCTTCTCTACCCCACCTTGCAACGCTGGGTCTTAAAATTCCATCTTTGCTGGGCCCTGGTGCAGTTTTTTATCTAGAGCTGAAATTAACCTCTCAGGGATGCTGATTACCAAAAGATTCAATTCTAAAATAAGCTTCCCTAATGTTTTTAATAAGTGATGTTGGAAAGGTCCAGTGATGTTGTTAGGTCACTACCATGGCAGACACTATTGGTTGCCTACCCAACCACCATTTTTCTCCTGTTCCTTAAGAAAATGAATTTATTAGGGTACCAAACAATTAAAGAAATGTGAGTTCCTCCCATTACTGTGGAAGTAATTCTAATTCCCTTTGTATAAAAATGTCATAGAAATGATTAGATTATGTTACCAAAGGATGGTCATCTAGGGAGGATTCTGCAATTTGTTTTACCCAAATGGCAAAATAAGGGCTTGTAAAATATAGAGAGTTATACTTGGGTTACCATTCAAGATGGTGGCTTTAGCATATAATGTGTCTTCTACTCTGTCCTGGACCCTATTGAAATAAAAATGTGGAAGGAGAAGCCAAGGAATAAATAAGAGTCAAGATATGTGTTTGTATGTGTGTGCTTATGTGAAGGGGAGAATGATAGATGGGGAAGGGAAGCAAAGTAAGTGAAATTTGAACAATTTCCTGGAAAACAAAACTAACAGAAGTGGTTTCACTAGTAATGCCCAAAATCAGTGAAGAAGCTACAAAAGAATTAACTGGAGGCATAGCAGAGGGCAGAAATTAGAATAAAGGGTGAATATGGGGATAACATTCTAAATTTAGTACAATTGAATCAATCACCACGCACACTTACTTCTTTCATTCATACACACTGAGAACACGCGAAGACATCTGCCACCAGCCAAAAACAGAAAATAAGACTCAAAGTCTTTTCTAAATCCATTGTATAAATAGTAGGAGGTGAAAGCTTTTATATTGACAACACAGAGTAAAACCATTCTTTTTTTCAATCCTTTTTTATTGTACTTTTTTTGCATTACCATTAATCCACATTATACCCTCTTCTAGCTCCAGCGACTCCCTTCCCTCCACCCCTCAGTCACCACACTGTTGTCTCCTCTGTCTATGACTCCTTTTTCTTTTTTGCTCAATCCCTCTACCCCTGAACCTCCACCCACCATCACCACTCCCCACCCCCTGCCTCGGCTGTCAGCCTTCTCTCTATAAGTCTGTCTCATTCTTATTCTGGCATTTAGGGCCACCATCCAGAGAGCCATCTACTTGCCCATTCATCCTAAAGTGAAACCTGATATTTGACATTCCAGTCCCTGTTGTAACCAACCCAGCCACTTAGTCACAATTCTCACATTGAAGACAGAACTGGCTACTAGAACTGAATCCATTCTACCTACTATAATAAGCAAAGGAAAACCACATCAATGATCAGTTCTTTTTATACATATATAAACATAAAATGAATCAACCAGCAAATAACCACTATGAAAAAGATAAAGAAAAGCGGATATAAAAACTATCTCTAATGGAAGCAAATGTAATTTATGAGATAAAAGAACATGTAAAGAGCACTCCAATTTATATACTTCAGTATTCAGAATATATCTATACTACACAATAAGGTACTCTGAAAAAGGGGTAACTGTAGAATGAAATCTGAAACACTTATAAAACATTAAACACTTATAAAACATATTAAATAAAAAATTCAATGGAAGTAAAAGCAAAAAAATCTATAATATAGCATATGTAAAGAAAAGAAAGTATGAGAAAAGATTCATGGAGAGCCAATTTAGCGGACTAACATTTAGTAGAAGAAAGATTTTAAAAAATAATAGTGAGAAAAACCTTAATTACAAGAGGTTTTATTTTAGAATGTAGAACAAAAGTTTTCAAATTGAGTAGATTACAGTGTACCAGAAAATAGATTCATACTTAGACAACTTATGTAACAGCAAGAATAAAAACTAGAATAATAATAATAATAATCCGTAAAGTTTCTAAATATAAAAGAGATGTTACCAACAAAGGGATAATTAGGCCTATCAGCAACACTGGATGCTAGAAAACAATGACAGAAAACTTTCAGAGTTTTAATGTTAAATAATTTTTCAATCTAGAATTCTATACTCATTCAAATTATCAATTAAGTACAGGGGCAAAATAAAGATATTTTCAGATGCTCAAGGATGTAGAACTGCAGAATATTTCCTCCTATGTGATCTTTAAAGAAGTTACTCAACCATATACTCCAGAAAAATAAGAGCAAAAAGTAAGAAATATGGAATACTGGAAA